ACACACACACACTTAACACATAACAAATTCTAGAACTGCAAATGTTAAATCGGTCCCAATAAATGAATACTTTTTTCATCAACCGAAGATGGTCATGTTCCTCTGATGCGTTTAAAAGTAGACAACGTGGTTCATTTTATACACACCATGTTAATTTATTTGCATCAGTATGTCAATGTACAGACTCCAACTTCCTTGCCTGGGCTGTGTTTGGTTTACTAGAGACAGTTATGTGGGAACATGGAAGACGCCACGCTGAACTACAGTGCGGGAAAAAAGTATTTGATCCCCTGCTGATTTTGTACGTTTGCCCACTGACAAAGACATGATCAGTCTATAATTTTAATGGTAGGTTTATTTGAACAGTGAGAGACAGAATAACAACAACAAAATCCAAAAAAACGTAATTCAAAAATGTTATAAATTGATTTGCATTTTAATGAGGGAAATAAGTATTTGACCCCTCTGCAAAACATGACTCAGTACTTGGTGGCAAAACCCTTGTTGGCAATCACAGAGGTCAGACGTTTCTTGTAGTTGGCCACCAGGTTTGCACACATCTCAGGAGGGATTTTGTCCCACTCCTCTTTGCAGATCTTCTCCAAGTCATTAAGGTTTCAAGGCTGACGTTTGGCAACTCGAACCTTCAGCTCCCTCCACAGATTTTCTATGGGATTAAGGTCTGGATACTGGATAGGCCACTCCAGGAAGGTAATGTGCTTCTTCTTGAGCCACTCCTTTGTTGCCTTGGCTGTGTGTTTTGGGTCATTGTCATGCTGGAATACCCATCCACGACCCATTTTCAATGCCCTGGCTGAGGGAAGGAGGTTCTCACCCAAGATTTGACGGTACATGGCCCCGTCCATCGTCCCATTGATGCGGTGAAGTTGTCCTGTCCCCTTAGCAGAAAAACACCCCCAAAGCATAATGTTTCCACCTCCATGTTTGACGGTGGGGATGGTGTTCTTGGGGTCATAGGCAGCATTCCTCCTCCTCCAAACACGGTGAGTTGAGTTGATGCCAAAGAGCTCGATTTTGGTCTCATCTTACCACAACACTTTCACCCAGTTCTCCTCTGAATCATTCAGATGTTCATTGGCAAACTTCAGACAGGCCTGTATATGTGCTTTCTTGAGCAGGGGGACCTTGCGGGCGCTGCAGGATTTCAGTCCTTCACGGCGTAGTGTGTTACCAATTGTTTTCTTGGTGACTATGGTCCCAGCTGCCTTGAGATCATTGACAAGATCCTCCCGTGTAGTTCTGGGCTGATTCCTCACCGTTCTCATGATCATTGCAACTCCACGAGGTGAGATCTTGCATGGAGCCCCAGGCCGAGGGAGATTGACAGTTATTTTGTGTTTCTTCCATTTGCGAATAATCGCACCAACTGTTGTCACCTTCTCACCAAGCTGCTTGGCGATGGTCTTGTAGCCCATTCCAGCCTTGTGTAGGTCTACAATCTTGTCCCTGACATCCTTGGAGAGCTCTTTGGTCTTGGCCATGCTGGAGAGTTTGGAATCTGATTGATTGATTGCTTCTGTGGACAGGTGTCTTTTATACAGGTAACAAACTGAGATTAGGAGCATTCCCTTTAAGAGTGTGCTCCTAATCTCAGCTCGTTACCTGTATAAAAGACACCTGGGAGCCAGAAATCTTTCTGATTGAGATGGGGTCAAATACTTATTTCCCTCATTAAAATGCAAATCAATTTATAACAAACAGCGAGTAGCAGCAGTGTAAAAACAAAGGGGGGGGGGGGGGGGGTCAATGTAAATAGTCTGGGTGGCCATTTGATTAATTGTTCAGCGGTCTTATGGCTTGGGGGTAGAAGCTGTTAAGGAGCCTTTAGGACCTAGACTTGGCGCTCCGGTACCGCTTGCTGTGCGGTAGCAGAGAGAACAGTCTATGACTTGAGTGACTGGAGTGCTTGACTAACAGAGGAGGTGTGTTAGTTTGAGAGAGCATGTGTTTGTTTGTATGCACCAAACCCAACAGACTCAGATGGCTAAATGTTCACCTTTTCAGTATGAACCTTAAGTTACCCAAGTCTCAGGAATGAAGAAAAATCTTCCACTCCAGTCGCAGGAGGTGTTGGTGGTATACTGTATGTGTGGGCACATGTTCAAGGGCTTTTTTCCAAATAATTTTCTGCAAGTTGGTAAATATGAATGTTTGCTTGTCCCCCAGTAACAAATGGAGTGAAATGTCTCCAAAACAAATATCTGTGTACAGAACAGCTTGTTTCTAACTGAGCAGTGTATCCTTAAACTGCAAATATGTTGCATATTCTCAACTCTCTATCTTTTTTCAATCTTTTAGCAGTCCTTATTTTGGCCAAAAGGTAAAAGGCCAGTAAAGTAGCCTATCTCTCTAGCGTGAGACAGCTTGATGTACAAGCACACCCACTGGACAGGACGCTAGTCTATCACAGGGCCTTACCTCCAATCTATCTCCTTAATGATGAGTGCCAAGCAGAGACACATTGGGTCCCATTTTTTGTCTTTGGAATGACTTGGCCGGAGTTCAAACTCTCAACTTTCCAATCTCAGGCCAGACACTCTAACGACAAGGCCATTACAAGCTAATATTCTTCATTTTAATTTGATTCAAACTGACAGTTGAGTTTAAGGGGAACTTCTCTCTGAAAGGTTTTCTACCAAATAAAGTTGAGTCTACAGCCATGAAGACTGCACTGACTTTTACATGGCTCAGTCATTTGGGCTCTTGGATGAGTAACTACATTCACTGTTCACTATTCAAGGCTCCCTGTGTACACTCATTGAGAGAGAGAGAGAGAGAGAGAGAGAGAGAGAGAGAGAGAGAGAGAGAGACTAGGGACTAATGAAGAGTTGTTTTGATCATTTATTTATACCATTTCCCTTCATCATCTCCTTTTCTCTCTCAAATGAATCTGCTCCTATAATTATCACCATGGGTGAAATTAGTTGGTTCGTTAATATCTCATATGCCTCGGTTAATTGGATGCCTTGATTACAGGACTGATGAAAACACAACAACTGTTGATTGCAAAGTGTAACGAATATGCAAATGACATGAGTGTTGAAGTCTCAAGTTTGAGAGAGTTTTGAACGTTTCTATACTGAAATATTTCTGAATTAATATTCAGTATGGTGAACATGATCTGAGGAGAAAGTAGGGAGCAGGGAAAATAAGGAAAGGGCCTGAAAAAGAGAGCAGGAAGGAGGGAGAAATGGAGATGAAGAGAGGTTGTTGAATAATTAAGCATAGAACACCTGTTCAACCATCCTTCTGCATTTTCTCTTTCACCTCTCAGACAAAAAAGAACCACTAAGATACTGAAAACGATCCTCTTAATTTAAATCCAACTAATATCAAATTTTTACTTGTAATGAAACTAAGAAGATTCACTGTGCTTATCCGAGTAAGGTAGCCTGGCGGGATGGAGCGTTGGAACAGTAACCAGCAGGTTGCTGGATCGAATCCACGAGCTGACATGGTACAAATCTGTCGTTCTTCCCCTGAGCATGGCAGTTCCCCGGGGCTGATGATGTCGATTATGGCAGCCCCCGGCACCTCTCTGATTCAGAGGGGTTGGGTTAAATGCGGAAGACACATTTCAGTTTTATGCATTCAGTTCTACCACTAACTAGGTATCCCCCTTTCTCTAATACACAGTAATCTCAATATACAGAGAGTCTTTCTAACATCATCACTGGAAACCAGTGTTAACCTTCATGCACTTCCCATGGTAATTGATTAGTCATTCTTAATTATTATGGCATTGTTGAATACTTGTTTCTGAGTGGCTTGACGGGCATTCTAGAGCATGCATTATTTACCTATAATGCATTATTTACCTATAATGCACGGTATATTTGCACGGGAGAATTCAATGGCTATTATTAATTCTTGCATTTTCTGTTTGAGCTGCTTTTGAAAGCAAAAGTCGAATTGAAAACATTATTGGCATTGTTGAATTCGATTTTCATAATGGCAAGCTAGGACTGATGGGTTGGTTAGGTAAACTAGCAAGTCTGTTTGTTTGGTTACCACGGCAACTACTGTAGCTCTCTTGTAAACTTGCTTGCTACTTCAGTGGATATTGAACATATTTCTAATTGCAAATGAACACATTTCTAGCGGTAAATGTGTTAAATTATAGCCATGGTATAAAAGGGATAATCAACTCAGGGCTCTATGCCTTCTCTGGAAAATAATGCAACTTCGTGGAAAGTCAGTTCCACTATGCTAGCGCGTCGTGGAACCCACCTACCTCGTCGTACATTATTTTTCATAGAACGCATAGCCTCTCGTTGATTATCCCTACATAATTAATTCCTGATCATCTATGCATTATTAATTGAAATTAGCAACACAACCAAGTGTGCGTTTGGGCATGCATATTAAAATATCTTACAAATAGCCTCCATTCACTCAGTGCTGTATGTAAACACATTAATTAAGTGTAGACAGACTGCCATATACATTGAAACCATTTCTACACTGTATATATAAAATGTGCTTGGTCAAATATAACTTCTATGGCCCTGCACTATGTATAGCTTTTTGTTTAGATATGCTCTAAAAGTGCTGGGTCTTAATGTAAATAATGGATAGGCTTCCTCTAGCCTCTATGAATATCTCTGGTAGATCCTAGAAAGCATTGGTGTCTTTGAGTGTCATGTCTGCCTTTGGTTTGTATAACAAAAATACTGTTTTCAACTTGTACTTTGGGGTCAAGTCTATTTCAATGTATTTCAGTTTGATAAACTTGTTTTGACTTTCAATTCAAATTGAACCATGATATAAACGGACATTTTGAAACTAAACTGCTGAACATAACAAAGTTGAATCTGGATTCATTTGGCTGTAAGAAAAAACATTCTGTACCTCTGTACATGTAACGGCACAGCGTTGTATCAACAAATCGTTGAAATGTGGACCAGTCAAATAACTGAAATTCAACCAAATACGTGAAATTCTCTCTCTATCCTCCCTTCTCTCTCCTTACCGCTCTCGCTCAGGCAGCAGCTGACTACGTGAAGGCCCACCTTCCAGAGTCTCTGAGGCAGCAGCTGCTGTCCTATGACAGGGAGAAGAGGGAGGGCGTTCTCTCCTACCCCAGCATCCTGGAGCAGCGCATCCTGGCTGTGGACCGAGACATGGTGGACAAGCTCTCCGCCAATCATGACGAAGCAGGTGAAGGACCGTAGGAGTGCTGATCTAAGATCAGTTTTGCCCATAATGAATGAGATTACATGTACAGGGGGAACCTGATCCTAGATCAGGACTCCTACTCTGAGGCGTTTTATGAATACGAGCCCAGGTGTCACACATTAAAAAGGTGGCAACAATGGAGGAGGGGTTAAGACAGTAGGTCAGATACAGTGGGGAAAAAATGTATTTAGTCAGCCACCAATTGTGCAAGTTCTCCCTCTTAAAAAGATGAGAGTGGCCTGTAATTTTCATCATAGGTACACGTCAACTATGACAGACAAAATGAGGAAAAAAAATCCAGAAAATCACATTGTAGGATTTTTAATGAATTTATTTGCAAATTATGGTGGAAAATAAGTATTTGGTCAATAACAAAAGTTTCTCAATACTTTGTTATATACCCTTTGTTGGCAATGACACAGGTCAAAAGTTTTCTGTAAGTCTTCACAAGGTTTTCACACACTGTTGCTGGTATTTTGGCCCATTCCTCCATGCAGATCTCCTCTAGAGCAGTGATGTTTTGGGGCTGTCGCTGGGCAACATGGACTTTCAACTCCCTCCAAAGATTTTCTATGGGGTTGAGATCTGGAGACTGGCTAGGCCACTCCAGGACCTTGAAATGCTTCTTACGAAGCCACTCCTTCGTTGCCCGGGCGGTGTGTTTGGGATCATTGTCATGCTGAAAGACCCAGCCACGTTTCATCTTCAATGCCCTTGCTGATGGAAGGAGGTTTTCACTCAAAATCTCACGATACATGGCCCCATTCATTCTTTCCTTTACACGGATCAGTCGTCCTGGTCCCTTTAGAGAAAAACAGCCCCAAAGCATGATGTTTCCACCCCCATGCTTCACAGTAGGTATGGTGTTCTTTGGATGCAACTCAGCATTCTTTGTCCTCCAAACACGACGAGTTGAGTTTTTACCAAAAAGTTCTATTTTGGTTTCATCTGACCATATGACATTCTCCCAATCCTCTTCTGGATCATCCAAATGCACTCTAGCAAACTTCAGACGGGCCTGGACATGTACTAGCTTAAGCAGGAGGACACGTCTGGCACTGCAGAATTTGAGTCCCTGGCGGCGTAGTGTGTTACTGATGGTAGGCTTTGTTACTTTGGTCCCAGCTCTCTGCAGGCCATTCACTAGGTCTCCCCGTGTGGTTCTGGGATTTTTGCTCACCGTTCTTGTGATCATTTTGACCCCACGGGGTGAGATCTTGCGTGGAGCCCCAGATCGAGGGAGATTATCAGTGGTCTTGTATGTCTTCCATTTCCTAATAATTGCTCCCACAGTTGATTTCTTCAAACCAAGCTGCTTACCTATTGCAGATTCAGTCTTCCCAGCCTGGTGCAGGTCTACAATTTTGTTTCTGGTGTCCTTTGACAGCTCTTTGGTCTTGGCCATAGTGGAGTTTGGAGTGTGACTGTTTGAGGTTGTGGACAGGTGTCTTTTATACTGATAACAAGTTCAAACAGGTGCCATTAATACAGGTAACGAGTGGAGGACAGAGGAGCCTCTTAAAGAAGAAGTTACAGGTCTGTGAGAGCCAGAAATCTTGCTTGTTTGTAGGTGACCAAATACTTATGTTCCACCATAATCTGCAAATAAATTCATTAAAAATCCTACAATGTGATTTTCTGGAAAAAAAAATCTCAATTTGTCTGTCATAGTTGACGTGTACCTATGATGAAATTTACAGGCCTCTCTCATCTTTTTAAGTGGGAGAACTTGCACAATTGGTGGCTGACTAAATACTTTTTTCCCCCACTGTAGTTATGTTCAGTAGGAAACTAAAATATGTGTTCTTATTGGACAAGTTAAGGTAGTACCTCCCTGTTTCACTCTGTTTTCCACCTATTAAACACAACCCAGTTTAAGACTGGTCAGAATTGACCCTCTCTTTAAAAAATCATAAAGACTTCCTGCTTAGAGAAAACAGAAAGACAAGGAACACGTTTTATAAATGTTAAGCACTTTTTAGATTTTTTACAGATTTGGTCTGTAAAGAAGAAAAGCTGTATACATCAAATGTAGCATTATTTGTTATGGCGGCAGTGAAATGTCTCCATGTAGAAGACCTTTTGAAGGTCAAGATACAAATCCAGTGTATTTACACATTTGTACACGGAGTCCCTTTGTTGCCCTGAGAGATTTATTGTCAGCCCTGAGAAATGGATTAGATGCCTGTAATGGAAACAGTACCTTATAAATCACTGGATTTCCAATGGAAGAGGAGGACATGGGCAGAATGAAAAGGTAAACCTTTGTCAGATAAGTTATTAGGGCCAGGAATAGCATTCACTCCTGTTACTTGGGTGGTTTCATTGTTGTGATATACACTGTCTGAGTGTACAAAACATTGGGAACACCTTTCTAATACTGAGTTTCACCCCACTTTGCCCTCGGAACAGCCTCAATTCATCAGGGCATGGACTCTACAAGGTGTCGAAAGCGTTCCACAGGGATGCTGGCCCATGTTGACTCCAATGCTTCCCACAGTTGTGTCAAGTTGGCTGGATGTCATTTGGGTGGTGGACCATTCTTGATACACATGGGAAACTGAAAAACCCACCAGCGTTGCAGTTCTTGACACACTCAAAGCGGTGCACCTTGCACCTACTACCATACCCCATTTAAAGGCACTTCAATCTTGTGTCTGGCCCATTCACCCTCTGAATGGCACACATACACAATCCATGTCTTAATTGTCTCAAGGGTTAAAAATCCTTCATTAACCTGTCTCCTCTTCATCTACACTGATTGAAGGTGACATCAATAAGGGATCATAGCTTTCACCTGGATTCACGTGGTCAGTCTGTGTCATGGAATGAGCAGGTGTTCTTAATGTTTTGTACACTCAGTGTAAATACAGTATGGCGTTCAGTATTGTGGTTGATTAGCAGACTATGATACACATGTTGTATTCTGAGAATGAGAAACACAGTTGAAAAATGTATTCAAGTAAACGTAAAGGGACATTACATAAAAAAATAGTCAAATGTTTTCAGTACTTCACAGTAGTCTAATGTCAAAATAGATCCACGTCCCAGGCCATCGGTTGTGTAGATCTAGCTATGGTTTTGGAATGTAATGTCCCTTTAAAATAAAATAAAATAAACTACTCTTTCTCCTTGTCTTAGGCACTACATGTCTGGTGGCCCTGCTATCAGACCGGGAGCTGACGGTGGCCAATGTTGGGGACTCGCGGGGCGTGCTGTGTGACAAGGATGGTAATGCGGTGGCCCTGTCACATGACCACAAGCCCTACCAGCTCAAAGAGCGCAAGAGGATCAAGAGGGCAGGTGAGCAGAGCGCTGCATGGGTCAAAAGCACCACAACGCTATGGGGACATTGTAGAGACGTTTGCGTCAAACCTAGCTAAACTGTAAATACTACAGAGTGAATTCACGCTAAATTTCACAGGGCTGTTTTAGAAGGGACCTAAAAAGCATTTCGAATGAAAAATCTCAATTGAAAATGCTTCTCAGTCCAGCACCAGGCTTAAAGGTCCAGTGCTGTCAAAATTCAGTTTTTCCTGTGTTTTGTTTCATATTGTACAACAGCTGATGAAACTAATGCTGTAAAAGTGTGAAAGAATTTGAACAGTGTTATTTCCTGATAGGTGCTGGTTGAAAATACAATCTACACAGGACCTTCTAATCAGCCGGTTTAGCATGGGTGGAGTTTCGGCTTGCCTGGTGACATATCTGCCAATAACAGCTAGTTTCCCCCTCCCAACTCAGACCACTCCCAGACAGTCCTAGCAAAATTCTTGCTTCAGAAATAGTGTTTGCTAATTTTGTTTATTTTTGACAATTTTAATGGAAGGTACTTAATTGTTACCCAGAAAGGATATGATATTGATAATAAAAATCGGCTGCTTTGGGCCTTTAAACTGTGTCCAGGAAACTTGCCCTTGATGTTCAGCACAGAAACAAAACACACATACATTTCGTTGGCTGAGGCAGGTAGTGCATAATTATCCTCATGGCGACATAAAATGTTTCCTACATTTCAGCAGATCACAATGGCACACTAGGATGAATCACTAGAATGAATCAGTGTCAAATGGAGAGACTAAGAATTGCAGCCTTGAGTCGCCACCTGTTGACCCTCTTTGGAATTGCAAACAGTGATGTCTTATTAGCTCTGACAAATGATAGGAAGCACTAATAAATATATCCTTAGTTGGATTTGATAAATATAATATTTATAGATATTATGTACTTTTATTGGGATACAGAAATGTCTATGCTTATTCTGCACTTTTTTCTGTGTTGTTTTCTGTGTACACAATGAATGACCAATGAATGACCAATGTCCCAGTGTGGGATAGTAAAGTTACAGATAGTTGAATTAAATTGCATTGCACTTCCATTCCTTCACCACCAGGGGGCTTCATAAGCTTCAACGGTTCATGGCGTGTCCAGGGCATCCTGGCCATGTCTCGCTCGCTGGGTGACTACCCCCTGAAGAACCTCAACGTGGTCATCCCCGACCCTGATGTGTTGACCTTTGACCTGGACAAGCTGCAGCCTGAGTTTATGATCCTGGCGTCGGACGGCCTGTGGGACGCCTTCAGCAACGAAGAGGCGGTGCGCTTCGTGCGCGAGCGCCTGGACGAGCCGCACTACGGCGCCAAGAGCATTGTGCTGCAGTCCTTTTACCGCGGCTGCCCAGACAACATCACTGTCATGGTGGTCAAGTTCAAGAGTGGTCCTGTGGGGAGCAGGGCCGGGGAGTAGAGGTGGTGATGAGGTCACGATGAGGTCACAATGTCGTGATGAGGTCATCATTATTGTTATGTTATAGATAGTCTCTCCTCCCTTGTTGATAGTGCAGCAAGCTATCAACCTGGGGAGGATTGGGAACTGTTGCAACCTGGATACCTGGCATTCTCTTTGACACGCATGTACACCCACACACAAAACTATGTGTTTTCATTTCTGACCATGACTTTTGGATAGATACACATTTTTGTTTGATATATGAACTTTACTCTGAAGCTGGAGTGCTAGATCGTCCTGACACACACACGTACACACACACACACACACACACATCCGTCTCACACATTGTCATTCAGCACGAACACACACTCTTCTCATCCATTCAATCTATACTGACACACAACTGGAGATCACCCCTTCTTCATCAATGAGAAGATGACTCTCTGACTCAACCAGCACTACATACTGTGATCTACTGTTCTCTACCAACAAACAACGGCAGCGTATTCTACTGTCAAAGGACTGACACTGTCCTGAAGAAAAAAAAGGGAACAAATTTACGTAGATTTTTTTTGTGTGGAATGATAAGCCCTTACATATCAGCCCATAAAAATGCTGTAAATCAATTTTCGTATACAGGATCAAACTCTGACCTAGCTCCAGCCATTGTCTTTTTTGTTAACACAGTCTTAACCAGGCTGATGTATAGTTACTGTATTATGGTACTGGACCTGTATAGGTGATTTGTTTAGCCTATCCATGTTTGGGAAAGATCTGTGGATGTTAGCACAGAGGTGTTGATGCCTCCATGGGAATCGACTAGGAGGTGCAACTCAACTGGAACAGGAAGGCTAATTGCCAGTAATATGCATACGACGCAATATGATTGGAGTGAATACTGATGTGTTAAAAGGGTCAGGATCATGTTAGAGACCAAGGATGGCCAACTTTGCTCCGAGAGAGCAGCAGTGTGTGCAGGGTTTCATTCCAGCCCAGCCCAGCCCAGCACACCTGATTCAAATAGTTTAAGTAATAAAGACTGCACACACTGTGGTTATCCAGGAACAGTTGGCCAACCTTGTGTTAGTGTTACTACTGTACTACTGTATTGAATACTACAATTACTACTGTATTTCATAGGTTCATTTTTTTGCTTGAAATGATATGTGGCAAACCTTTTATAATTTAACAATGTACCTTATTTGCGTTATTTATTGTTTCGGTTTTTATATTATTGCCAAAACAAAACATATACAGCTGTTTATTGTTGACCTTTACATATGCATAAGTCAATAATGTAACAACAAAAATCACTTGTAGACAGTTCACCAACAAGTCACTCATATACTCTGCCAAACACAAAATGTATGACTTTGCTGAATCCAGTTTGTCAGTATTAAAATTCAATGCTACCTTGTGAAATGTTTTTGTTGACCTTATTCTTGCCAATTTGAAAGAGAATGTGCAGAGAGTTAGCTGCAACTGCCCTCTCAGATAACACGGTCAATTACATATAATATATTTATATTGGGTCCAATCACAATTTAGGGAACGAAACAGCGAACTGTCTTAGCGGAGATTTTTGAAATTGTTTTATTATTATGACTAGTATAATTTGTTTGAATTATGCCCAGCTCATGAGGCCCCTTGATGATGTGAAGCCTGAGGCAATTGCCTCTTCTGCCTAATGATAAGTCCGCCACTGTGTATGTAACCTTTCTGTAGCCTATAAATCAAGTATGGCCACCAATAAATAATGCAGTATTTTCTGGGGCCCGAGAGAAACTACAATGATGCACACAAATACCCAGCCAAACAATCACATCTCTGTATTCATGTTTCTCTCTTCACCAGTGTGCTGGATTGTCACACATGAATGAATACATCTCCAATCAGTCACGTCATGACACTAAACAATTGATTGGGTTTAATTTGGGAATCCTCAATGATGACAACAAGCAACAATGTAAGGGCCGGTGAGATCACATCCAGAAAGAAAATCTATGACGTTGTTGAAATACACTTCTGGGACCGCTAAACACGGGCACAAAATAGTTCTGTATGCGCCATAACTCCAGTAACCTCGAAGTAACCGAACACCTTAGCACTAGCTACAGCACTAGCTACAGAGGTGTGGCACTGCCGTGCGTCACCTAGACATCGTGTGAGCTAGGGATCAAGTCGAAACTGACGGTCTGTGCCAGGTGGAACTGGCCTTAGAATAGCATGTACATTGTAAAATATCGAATGTGTCAAATGCCAGAGACCTGTGTGCTAACATTCAGCAGGCTTTCCATAAACCTAAGCCATTCACTGTAGGGGAGAACGGGGATAGTTGTAACACTCAATATCTCCAATCAGGAACAAGCTAGAATCATGTGACCCACTGTGCACATGCTCAGTTTAGTCCTCAACCCTCATGTGAAGAAGCAAGACCCTGTGATAGACTCTGCAGATTATATTGGCAAATATCTGATTTTGAGGTATTAAAAATAAATAAATAAATGTGTTTGTAAGCTATCACCTGCTTTGTAGTTAGATTCCCCAAACTTATATCAGGTTTATAACCAGTGTGTGTAGATACTGTATATTTGATGTAAGTTAGCAATGCTAAAGTTTAAACATGTAGCTAAAATTTAATCTAGCTAATGGCTTCAAGGGTCAGGGTTAGGTGTAACAAGCCTAAAGCGGTCTGGGTGAAGTGCTGGGAATGCAAATTATGGCCCACCAAATCTGTACCCTAGGACTACCATACCACTGTCATACTACACACACACACACACACACACACACACACACACACACACACACACACATTCAGTTGTTCAGTTCAGATGTTGTTGTTTAGTTGAGAAGGGCCAGTTAATGGAGCATAAAATAATAAACATTTTATGATTTGTATTATTATTTTATTATTTCTGCCACACAAAATGTTAAACATGGCAATGTTGTTCTCATGTTCTCAATAAAGGCTTTCAATATTTCATTGCATGTTATGATTTATGGAAGAAGAAAAAAAATCAAACTGTTCCATTTCACCCCAAGCCCTGTTGCAACTGACCCAGGAGGTGGGGTAAATTGTAACATTTCACTCCATGTATTTGAGACAAAGTCACACCTTGTCTGTTTAATTTAGAGAGATAATACCTACAACAATTTGTAGCAGACAGATGTAATTTGCTCGTTTCACATTTTGAATGTAGTAGCTCAAAAAATCTCTGAGAAATTTAAATGCAAAAAGTGTTTAACCCATGCCCGGTCTCCCGTACTTAACGCCTCCCTACAGGAAAGCTAACCTCATAATTAGGTACTGAGACTGTATAAGTAGAATTCGGTCCTTGGGTCAACCAATGAAGCGAGACAAGTGTGTGCAACTTGCAGCCACCATGTGACTAAAGACAGGACATTTGTTGGGTGTTTGCAATCAAGGTCTCTATCTGAGCTTTGGTTCTTCGGGAGCTGACTCAAATCTGTTTTTGAGCTGCACTTGAGCTTAGTTTTGAAATATGGGTCAGCGCTGTTCCAAGCCCCCCGTATTGGAGGCGCGAGTGCTTTTCCGGCGCTTTGATGCGCGGGCGCCCGAGAAACGCAATTCAATCTATCAGAAAATGAACGAATTCTCCACACCTGCCCCTGCTATCTGTTTCAATGAGACGGTGAAGACGCTTGACGTCTCTCATGACGCCGGGGTTCAGGAGAGGAGGAGGCGACCCCACTCCTGGCACTACAGCCGACGGGACACGGGACTAGTGTATGTAATGGATGACCCGACGGGTGGAGTTTGGATGAAGCCGAGAGAGAAATGTACAAGATCCTGAAAGAGAGGGACATTTTTGGTTTTAAATCGGTCTCTCTTCGCGAGAAAATCTAGCATTCTCTAGTAGGGTGCATCTCGTGCTTCGGCACAATCGTGGAGCTGCGTAATAGCCGCCGCATATTTGAGTGGGGTGTCTCTCAAGGGGACAGAAGTTCAGTGATTGAGAGACGTTTCAGGGGGATGTGCTTGAACCCACCACCTTGCACTGACCAGTGAGGAAAGGACAGTGTTCGGGAAGCTACTCTGAAAATATAGTTTACTAAGCTACCAATTACATCACACTGAAAGAAGTTAAGCTACAATAAAGCTATACCTTTAAGAAAAATACAGTTTACTTAACTAAAGTTACTTTGAAAAAGTACTTAACTAGCCTACATCCAAACGATACTTTGTGAAAAAAAATCTAATATATAAATCTGAAATGTAATAGACTACAAATTGCAAAAACAGATCACTTTGGGGTCGATTGTTAGCATCCATTGTCCTACGGTTTTACATCAACGTTTTTTTTAAAAATCACAAATTAATCAAATAGCATTTTGGGGGATGGAAATGCATGCATGTCTGGACGCACAAGTGCCCCCACTCTGAAGTCGCCTTCATCAATTCATTGTGCATGTTGTTTGCTCACATTCAAATTTTATTTGACATGTGTTGTCCAGCATGAGCAAGTTTCATTTTACCCTGTATGTTCATAGGCCTATTCACTGAAAACATTTTAAAGCGCAATTCATGTAGGCCCTATCAATCAATTTTCAATCAATTTTATTTTATATAGCCCTTCGTACATCAGCTAATATCTCGAAGTGCTGTACAGAAACCCAGCCTAAAACCCCAAACAGCTAGTAATGCAGGTGTAGAAGCACGGTGGCTAGGAAAAACTCCCTAGAAAGGCCAAAACCTAGGAAGAAACCTAGAGAGGAACCAGGCTATGAGGGGTGGCCAGTCCTCTTCTGGCTGTGCCGGGTGGAGATTATAACAGAACCATGCCAAGATGTTCAAAAATGTTCATAAGTGACAAGCATGGTCAAATAATAATCAGGAATAAATCTCAGTTGGCTTTTCATAGCCGATCATTAAGAGTTGAAAACAGCAGGTCTGGGACAGGTAGGGGTTCCATAACCGCAGGCAGAACAGTTGAAACTGGAATAGCAGCAAGGCCAGGCGGACTGGGGACAGCAAGGAGTCACCACGGCCG